AGTGCGAAACTCAAAAACCTCAGTTTGAACTAAAACTGGATTTTAACTCGCACATCCTGCCTTTGCTTTTCAACAGTAATAACTGCTGATGTCCTGCACATGCACATGGTAATTGCAGTGTTTACAAATCTCAAAACTGTTGAAGAGGGCCACCACATATTTTGGGAGCTGCACATCCTTTTTCCTTTTTAAGAGTGTGAAACATGAAAGACCTATTATTTTAATCTCTGTGGCACACATGTAATTTTCTCCCCCGGCTGTTTCAGCTCTGAGTAACCAGCACACAGAGTTTAAGCTTCTCTTCACACACCAGATCTGTGTCATTTTGTGTCAAAATTCAGGATTTTTCTATTCCCCTGCAAATCCAGTTCAAATCCAGTCCCCAGTGTCGGCATCATGAGAAGATATTTATATGTTTTCCTTGATGGCTGACGATAAAATCTTATGGAATAAGTGCAGTAATATGTGAGCAAAATATTCAGGCTTAAATTTAAAGGTCATTATCAGTTACAGTTGGGGTTATTTGACGTGAGCTTGTGGGAGGTACTTATCTTTTTTTTTTTTTTTTTTTTTTTTAATCTGATGGCCCCGCCCACAGCAGCTCATCACTCAGCTTCTGTACCTGCTGCTTCTCCACACACTGACTATAGATGAGTACCTCACACAGCCTCCCATCAAATAACCTCAACTACCACTTTTAAACGTCAGGCAAGTTAAACTAACATCAGATGCATTTGGTAAACCACGTCCTCTGGTATATTTGATCATTTATTTCAAGTCATCTGTGCATCTCCGTCATTCTTTGCACGTCATCTGTGCTCAGTGATTATTCTTTATTTTTATGTAAAATGTGCACGTTTGAAAGAAACATCATGAATCCATCATTATCACCTCATTACCTCTGTGTGGTGAGAGATGTTTGGCTCGTCCGTCCATCCCTTTTGATGCATTGCAAGGTAATTATTCTCTCTGCAAATCTACATCTACACCTGCAGTAAAGCTCCCGTCGGAAACAGAGAGACAGGAATTAAGATTCTTCTGCTTTCTAAAACGGGAGCACACGGGTTCGCCACAATTGATTACACCTCGCCACAAGAGCGAGCCAATCAGGAACTTTTTTTCAGGAGCGAGAAAACCGAGCCAGCCCCGCCGCCTCCGATATCAGAGCAAAAGGTTAAATAATTAGTGCAACTTTGTAGGTTAGAAATTACATGTTTTGGCTTCGGCTAATAAAAACTGAGGTGGGTGATTAAGAGGGAGATATGTGGCAGTGTCTCGCTGAATGAAATGTGAAGCTTCACAAATATCTCCACCCACACTGTTCTGGGCTCGAAGACAATCCACTCTGTGCCCGTCATGGTAGCTACCGCCTGGGTGTCGTGTTTCTCTAATAGCACCCCGGTCTTCATTTAAAGCTACACACACCTCTGTACCTGAACGCTGATTTCTGTGGAAGCCAAACTTATTGAATTAGAGTTTGTTTTTTTAAAAAAAAAATCTTGTAGCACTGGAGTGAAGCATTTAGTATTTAAGTGTATTTCCCAGAGGGGGATGGAGATGTGATGGTGGGATTTTGACAGCTGTGTCAACTGGGCCGTCGCAGTTTGTCCCGGCTCTTAGGCCACGACAAAAGGAGGGAAATCCACACAGTTGTACTTGAAATAAGGAACAAATCAGATTTATCTACATAAAAGAAAACCAGTCAGCAGGTCAGTAGTGTTAGTGAGTGGATGTATGAAAGGGTGGTGTTGGATGGTGCCAAATAAAAAGTAGGAACCAAACAAAAGAAAGCATGTGGTGCAAGGGGGGGGGGATCCAGTGATGGAGGGAGAGAGAAAATGAGGAGGGATGGTCTTAAATGCTAACTCCGCCCACCAGCACCTGAAGGGACAGCAGAGCCAGAGGGGTCCATCACACTGGTCACATAAAATGGCAATTCTAACAATTCCAATAAAAAGAAATATACTTCCAAAAACCCCAAATGAATTAAAGATGAGAGGAAGCTGGAAATGTCAGGCGGATGTAGAGAGATGACTTTCCCAAACGTCTTTCATTGAGGAAAGTTTAACGTTGATGGTCAGAAACATCATTTTAACATCAGCTAACGAGGTTTTACTTTGAGCCCAGCTGATAGTCTGTAAATAAAGATGGACGCAGCCTCTGTGACGTCACCCACAGGTTTCTGAAGCTCAGAGTGAGCTGCTCCACCGTCGCCATCTTGGCAGTGTCTGACTCCGCCCTCTAACCCTCTAACTCCCAGCTAATCCAAAACAAGTCAAAGAGGAGGGGCCTGTGTGAGCTGAGATGTTGGTGCAAGCATATGCTCACCCACCTGTCACTCAAAGAGGCCACGCCCCTCAATCCTCCATAACTGTAGTCCTTAATAAAGTGTAAACAGGTGAGTTATAGAAACAGGTGTCATGAAGGAGGAAATCAGCTGTAGAGACCAAAACAGTTTCTGTACCAGGCTGTAAACATGTTTATTTCTGCTGTAAAGTTTTAACATGGGAGTCTATGGGGACTGACTCACTGTTGGAGCCAGACTCTAGTGGTCGTTAGAGGAACTGCAGCCTCAGTGTTCGCTTCACGTTTCAGCCCTTGAGGTTGTCGCTTCGTGTAGTTTCATCCGAAGCTTTAGCAGTTACCAAACCTTGAGAACAGAAGCACCACAATCTGACTCTTTGAGTCATTTTGTGACATTCTTCCTTGAGGAGGAAGGAGTTTGCAAACGTAACTGCTGTGACAGCTGATTCATCAGGAAGTCCTGGGAGCGCCTCGACCCAAAGGTTTTGTAAGGTCTTAAATTACGCCCCAGTCCGCTCCACCCCGCCTTAAAAAGTCACGAAATAAATGATGAACCTCTGCTCTGAGACAGCAAAAGGACACATCCTCTTTCCAGACAGTGTACTGCACCCTCGGGGGCTCGGTCTGTGACAAGAGAATTGAGGTGATTAGTAACTGATGTCAGCCCAGGGAATGGACTCAGGCTGGATCCCCTGCAAATGGCAGGCTCTTACAAGGCCAAGTGTCTGGAAGTGTGTGTGTGCGTGTGCTGTGCTGTGGTGTGTGATGTGTGTGTGTGTGTCGTGTGTGTGTGTGTGTGTGTGTGTGTGTGAGAGTGTGAGAGACGTTCTGGGATATATACTGTCCACAGACACGCACACACACATTAGAGAGTGCTGAGTGCTTCCATGCTGACAGATGCTAAACTTGTACTTATTCACAGTTGATTTGGCAGCGTTCACACACACACACACACACACACAGAGAGAGAGAGAGAGAGAGAGAGAGAGAGAGAGAGAGCTGGACTTGACCCCCATCCTGCAGATGTGACACATGGTTGAATAATGGACTCTGCTGCTTGCTGAGATAAATGCTTGATGTGTCCACTCACAGGCCGTTATAATGGGTGAAGCCCGGCCATTTACACACACACACACACACACACACACACACACAGATTCACACTGTATGATCACATGTAAACTGGCACATGGAACAGGAAAGCCTCAGAGAACAGTCTTGTTATTTCCAACCTTGCCTCTTATCCCCGTCGGTCACGATAACGTTTGACTCTCTAGTTTAATGGTTGAGGACGGTGGTGAAGCTCCGTCAGGAGCAGCTCTACAGCGCACATGATTACAACAAACATCACAAGCCGTCAGACTGTCAGACAGGTCGTAAACGAAGCCGCAGCTCGGCTAAGACCAAATTATTTGTAGCTTCGCATGAAGGTAAAATCACTTTTTAAAATGTGAATTAATCATTTCACGGCGTCTTGTGTTTCACCACTACGTGAATGTATAAGGAGAACTTCAACAATCTGATGGAGATGGTGCAGAACAGATGGTAAGAAGTGGATTTTAGGATTTGTTTACAGCCTGTCTGACTGTCTGAGCAGTGATGCTGCCTGGCTCCATATAAAACAGGTTTGCATCCCGACATCTCAGCAGTGACGTTGATGAGCAAAGTGTCATCATAAGCAATAGGAATAATGACCAAAATTACATCTACATACAATGGATGATCATTCAATATGACCACACATTGATATTCAGTGGATCTTTATCATAATATATTAGCTTTTTACAAAATTCAGTTTTAGATTGTAACTAAAATTCATCGTAATCAATATAAAAGGCTTTTGTAATACATTTAAAATATTATTCTGTATATATGTGTTAGAAATAAAACACACTACGGTAGCTTCAGAGAACACATTCAAACAAACAAATTCAGAAGAGTTCTTCATCAGTTTGACAAAACACGTGCTGCAGATTCCCACAGCGCGACACAAGTGTTTCCAGGGGAAAAACACTTGGAAGTACACAAGTGCGTTTGTGTATTTGTATGTGTTGTGAGTATTTGCAAGCGCGCGTGTCGTCAACGTCGTACATTCTTAATCTCACGAGACACAACATCACACAGACCCAGAGCAGCCGGGGGAAAATAAGCTGTTTATCCCTTTTATATACGAGACAATTAGAAGTGTTTTGCACAAAGTGAAATAATTCTTAACCTCTAATATACTTCATTATTAACACGACGCGGAACATAAACATGCAGCAGATTAACGCGCCCCGTCCTCCTGCTGTCACAGCTGTATAAACTCAGCAGATATCGGGTCACACACTCTCCGAACCTGATGGAGATTTAATGCGACTTTAACTGGAGAGAAATGATTCATTTGCTTTGAGGGTTATTTATAGATCCGTGATTGATTTTTCTCTTTCATTCATCTGTGAGTGTGTTGCCGTGTGTGTTGCCGTGTGTGTTTCCGTATGC